TCTATGTAGTATTCTTACAAACATGTTAATACAGAGTGTTTTGTCTGTCTTCAGATTTTGTGGTAGAAAGGAATATAAAAAGTCCCTTACTTTGATTTCTTTTTCATCTAGGTCAATTTTAACTGGGTAATCTCAGAGGACAGGTGGAATTGAAGGAAATAAGTTTGAATATTTTTTATTTTTTCCCCCCTCACTTCAGGTGCTTTTGAAGACAATTCTTTTTCATCCCTGGCTGGTATTGTCAGTGAGAATACATTGAAGGGCATAAATGACATGGGTTTTACACACATGACCGAAATTCAGCACAAAAGTATTAAGCCACTTCTGGAGGGCAGGTAGAAAATATGTCTTTTTAATCACTATAATGACCCTAAATGTTGTCTAAATTTTGCTAGCAAGCTAAATACATGAAAAGTGACTTTCTGCTGCTAAACTCTTTTTAAAAATATGTTCTTAGATCTTTTATATATTTTGTTTAAAGACATTAATATTAGTTAACAAAGTATATTTGTGTTGTGTGTGAACAAATACTTAGGGTAAGCTCGTGGAAGCTGCTTTGCATTTGGCTTGGAAAGCAGAGAAGTCTGTTTTCAGTCGCCTTGTTGTCAATGTGTCACTGTCTCACACTGTCAGAGACATGGTGGCCAACTGCTGTGGACCGCAGCTGCCCCTGGGCTCTTAATACCAACTCTAGTGGTTTCCTTTAAGCCATGTTATGTTTTTTCATTGTTAAGATTGTATAAAATAGGATTGTTCTTTTCTCTGTACGATCAACTAAATACTTCTTTTTCTAATTTTGCTACATACAGGGATATTTTAGCAGCTGCGAAAACAGGAAGTGGCAAAACACTTGCGTTTCTTATTCCTGCAGTAGAGCTCATCTACAAGCTAAAATTCATGCCTAGAAATGGTAAGGCTCTTCATTTCATAGTTGAATTTTACTGTGGCGCAGCCATTTAGGGATGTGGCTAGGAGAGGGATGGGACCAGTAGTAACTTATTCTTGTCTGACTGATGTATTTTTTAGGAACGGGTGTTATTATTCTTTCTCCTACTCGAGAGCTTGCTATGCAAACCTATGGAGTTCTTAAAGAACTTATGAATCATCATGTTCATACCTATGGTCTGCTAATGGGGGGCAGTAACAGATCAGCAGAAGCGCAGAAGCTTGGAAATGGAATCAACATCATTGTAGCAACACCAGGAAGGCTGCTGGATCATATGCAGGTTGATAAAATATTGGATGTCTAATCCATGGTATTAAAACATAATGAAACTCCTGTCCCTGTCTGACTTAGAGTTTGTTAATCTTCTAGAACACTCCGGGTTTCATGTACAAGAACTTGCAGTGTTTGGTAATTGATGAGGCGGATCGTATCTTGGAGGTTGGATTTGAAGAAGAAATGAAACAGATCATAAAACTTCTACCAAGTAAGAAAAAAAGCCCTGTCTTTCCTGGAAATCACTTGACTACCATTATGTCATCTTTGACTCAATTATTATAAGAGAAGTAATTATTAATTTTTATAGTTCTGTAAATGCACTTCAGAGTGGTTGTCTTCCTCTGTCCTTTTCTTCTGATAGCTAGTATATATTACTTTATTTAACATCATTTATCTGAAGGACAGAGTTTTCATATGTACTTTAGGGATATAATTCTGGTCATGTAAGATCCTTTTAGTTTAACATCTATGTTCTCTCATTCGGCTTCTCCTGCCCATTTATTTCCTACAATTAATTATTTCCTAATAAGGCTTAAATATAAGGAAAAAGGTCTTCTGGCTTGCAGTTTGTATTTTTTCATATCTTTAAGAACAGTATCTTACAGAAGTTTATTTGAGTATTTGCCTTAAAATTTTCTTAATTTTTCATTTAGTTATTCCCTGTAATTAATGTATTAAACACATTCTCAGGCTCTCCCTTTAACTTCCAAAATACAGGAAAAAAAACATGAAAATGGTATATAAAAAAGTAGTGATAAATATTTTTATAAATAAACATCTGAAATATTAAAATTCAAATCTGCATGTTTAAAATTCTTGCACAATCTCTAGCATGAGATTTTTATTTAACAAAAGCATTTTAATATTCAAGGGAAGGAAATCAATTTATAGTTAGGATTACAAGGTTGCTCTCTATTCAAATCATTATTATATGTCTAAATTGGGTAAACTATTATTAACATTTTTCCAGAGAGAAAGAATACTGTGTTTTGATAGAAATTGGGATTTTGGGGGTGGGGGGCAGCGTAAGTAAGCGTCTTTTACGATCCATAATACAACTACACCTCTATGTGTTTGTCAGTAGCAGTGTGTTTGAATTAGAATTTAATTGAAAAAAAGAAGACTTGCTCAGGGAAGTTTGCAGCTAAAGATTTTATGAACTTGCTATTTGAATTCTCCTTTAAAAATGAAGCTGTCTTTCAAAAGAAACATTTTTTTTCAGAGCGCAGACAGACGATGCTTTTTTCTGCTACACAAACCAGAAAGGTTGACGATCTGGCAAAGATCTCTCTGAAGAAAGAGCCGCTGTATGTTGGGGTTGATGATAACAAGGAGACGGCAACAGTAGATGGTCTTGAGCAGGTAAAACATGTTACTAAAAGGGGTGTGATCTGTGAACATGCCAAGTGCTATATGTTTTTAACGGGGTTGTACAAACACTGTCTTAAAGGGTGTTTACCAATGGACAAAAGCCGTCAGCTGCCTAAAGGGCTGTTTGCAGTCTGCTACCTATAGTAAGTTACATGCATCTAGTCAGTGTTTGCAGCAATATTGATATAAAACCTCATGAAATAGTAATATAATTCCTTACGCTTGTCTATTCCTATATATTACATACCTATGCTCTAGTTTTTAACTGTATTTTCTATGTTGATGACTAGATATATGTATACTTCAGATACATTTCATTGTTGCTGCTGCTGCTTCAGATAGTAGTTAAATGGAGCTGCACAGCAGTTTTTGTGCTTGTGCAGTTGACATGATGAGTGTTGTTATACAATTACCAGACACTATTAGATAAAAAGAATAAACCAATAGCAAGAATTACATAAAATAAAATTATTGAAATCATAAAAAATGTTAAGAACTCTATGCAGTGCCTAATGCTAGTAATTCCAAGTTCTTGAAATGATTTTTTTTTTTGTTTATAGTAATTATTTTCAGTGAACTTACATTAGTTTGGAGAATTAATTAAAAATTACTTTTTCTTATTTGAAGTTATTACAGTAAGTTTCTTGCCAAGTTCATAATCTTTAGGAGTTTCATATACCAAGGTGAGGACAGACAATAAATTGGATGGTTTGGCCCAATGCAGCTGGAAAAATCAACTATTTGGCATATTTGTTTCACAACATGACACTTCTCTGATTTAACTGTATTACTGAAACAAAAGTTTGTTCCATATTACTTTCCTTAACAGTATTTAAAAATTTTCCAGGGGTATGTAGTGTGTCCATCTGAAAAAAGATTCCTTTTGCTCTTCACATTCCTCAAGAAGAACCGGAAGAAGAAACTAATGGTATTTTTTTCTTCATGTATGTCAGTGAAGTACCACTATGAATTACTCAACTATATTGATCTGCCTGTTTTGGCCATTCATGTAAGTATTTTATTCAGTGATTTATTTTTAATTAATCTGATAGTACCTGTAAGTTGTTACTGACCTTACATTTTCCTTGTGTATTTCAGTCCAATTTCAAATAAACAGACGCCCAGCTCATAAAACTGCTGTTGATCTTGATTAGTCTGTAGAGGGAGATAAAGCAAAGACTATGTAATAACAACACTTCAGTATTGTTATTCTTGCTATTTTCCAAACCAGGGCTGAACACTGATATTAATTAATGCTCTGTGTATAGAAGGCTTTCTATTTTCTTCCAAGGGGTTGCCTTTCACAAGCACTAAAACGGAATTTTGATCTCTGATCCCTGAAGCGCTGTGTGGTTTTTCTAAGGCCAGAGTGATATTTGGTTTTACTATGCCATTTCTTACCATTTGGATGATTAAATTTTTTTGTCAAAACCACAAAATACATAGTTTAGGAGAAAGAATTGACTGAAAGTTTGTGAAACAGGTAAAACTGACTGCAGGTGTTCTTTTTTATTTTGTTCTTTTGGGGCTTTTTTTGCTATACTTCACTGTACTTTGATAGAACTGTTAAAATATGGGGAGGAGGGGATGCGTTTGGTTTTTTAACCTGTAATGTATCTAATATATTTCTAGACTTGCACATGTCCTTTTTCTGAATGTCAGGCCTTTATGCAGCCCTCCTGAAAAGAATGCCTATGCAACCAAAGCTGTAATGCTTTAGAAGACACAGTTTAACCTCTGAGAGATACCACTTCATGTAGCTCTGCTGTTGACTGTGGTGGCATTGTTTCTTCATTGCAAAATGGTCCTGCTTGGTCTGTACAAGTCCATGACAGGGAAAGATCCTCCAACTTGTTTTACATTTTTGGCAGTGATATAATATATGAAATGGGAAATTAGACTTAAGCTTGCAAGTTGGCAGATTTTTTTTTTTTTTAGTTGATATTTCATCCTTAATGTGTTTGTTTCCTTTTAGGGCAAGCAGAAACAAACCAAACGTACTACAACATTTTTCCAGTTCTGTAATGCAGAATCTGGAATACTGTTGTGCACTGATGTAGCTGCCAGAGGACTGGATATTCCTGAAGTTGATTGGATTGTCCAGTATGACCCTCCAGATGACCCGAAGGTAAGTTAAGGAAATAGAGAAACTTTACAGCAACAATTCAAATCCTAACTACAAACATAGTTGCAGAGAAAAGCTGAAACTGCTGCTTGACAGAGGTTAGGATTCAGGCGTGTTCATATCTAGCTGCTGATTTCTTCCACCTCCTCTCGCAAGCTCCTAGGAAATGCTGCATCTCACTGAGACCTTTGTTACCTTTTTAAGGGGTGCTTTTTAAAATGTTAATATTTGTGTTGTTAAATTAATTTAAAATCTAATCAGCTAAACAACAAAATGCTTCTCAGGAAGAGTATGAGTTCATATATACATCCCTGAGTCTCCTAACAGCTTTTCCACTGGAAATTTGATTTTTATTTAAAAGTCAGTATTCTTATTTCAATAAATGTCTAGTGTCAACAAGCAAAACCCAAAAAAACTCAGTTTTGACAAATATACACAGCAAATATAGCAAAAGCAAAGTTTAATTTTCAGTTACAGCAGGCTAAGATTTTTTTTCTTCAGTAAAAGGTAAAATGAAACTTCTCATCAGGGGTCCTTGTCTGAGCCTAATGATGGCTTGCATCTTCAGCACTTGATTTCCCTCATCCACATGTCAGTACTAAGAAAAAGTCTTAAAAATACTGAATGATGCATTATACTATAGTAATATTAAATTTGGGGTTTTTTTTGTGAAGCTATTTCATTATTACATGTTTGAAAGTCAGATTGGACTTGCTGTTTCTTATTCTTTCCAAAAGGAATATATTCATCGTGTTGGCAGAACTGCCAGAGGCATAAATGGTAGAGGACATGCTCTGCTCATTTTACGACCAGAAGAACTGGGCTTCCTTCGTTACCTGAAACAAGCCAGGGTAAACTTTTATGTCTAGATTTTTCTTTCTTTTTTTTTTTTTTACTGTACAACAGGTTTTTAAAGGCAAAAACTGTAATGATTAATCAAACATTTTAATTTTTTAAGCAAAAAATATTCTGTTGCTTAGAAAATATTTAACTGAACCTCTGACTTTAAGTCTAAAGCCAGCAACACAAAGGTAAATATTGAGTGTATTTATAGTTGCTTTGCAACTGTAGAACTTGGGTTATTAAAAATAAACAAACAGATTTCGCATGATTTCTCAGTAGAAGGTTACTGGGAGCTTGGCCATGCAGAGGAAATTAAAATGTGGATGTTGCTTGTGCAGTTTTTATTTTTTCTATTAAAACAATCAATTGCATTTTGTTAACTTTGAAAGAAGTGTACCCGCCTTCTAAATGTAATCATATTAATACGATAGAGCTGCACATAGTTTCTTGGCTGCTCTACTTGTGGACTTGTTTACAGAGTTTTGCCACTTGTAACTCAAGTGGTATAGCTTCTAAAGCAAAAGCTAAAGGGGTAAAAGTGTCATACTGAGCTTCTTTGTTTAGTTTAAAGGAAGTGGTAATTCTGGCATATTGATGTAAAGACACTTTATAAATACATCTGTGATAAGGGTAATAATGATATAATGGTGTGGTCTTTACTTTAAATAAAAGATTATACCAAAAACCTAAAAATATATACTAATTTCTTTTCTTTTTTTTTTTTTTTAAGGTACCGCTAAGTGAATTTGAATTTTCTTGGTCAAAAATTTCAGACATCCAGTCTCAGGTATGAAATTACTTCATACCACAGCTACTCTGAATATTTGTATAATAATTTATGTGGAGAATGTTATATTCTGTAATGACTGAAGTTTAAAAATATGTGTGCTTGTTTGGAAAAGTTCTGATGATGACTACTCTGCAGTAAATCCTCCTGACATATTGTCTCTCTATGATATTAAAGCGATAAAACATTTTTAAATTAAAGGTGAATTTTAATATTCAGTACTAAACAGCTAAACCTGTTTTGTGCTCCAGTGCCACAAAAATAGCCATGGATCACAAAGCTGAATACAATGGTATAGATAGTTCTGCAGATGGGTATTTCTATTGTTGTTTAATCCTGTGAATCATTCTTTTGATAAGAGCTATGTAAAGCTTCTTTGCAGCAACTTAAATTTGAAATAGCAAGTACAGGAAGCAGTGAAGACAGTCCTTACAGAAAGGAGTTCCTAGTTAAGAATAATTAGGAAGTAATGATGTCTAACATAACTTATTTTTAGTATGCTGAATTAATGTGTGTTAAACATCAAATGAGACACTTTGACCTAAAGAGTGTTGGGAACTTAGCCCGCAAAAAATAAAATTTCTCAGTCTATATTAGTGCCTCTGCATTTTTCTTTTAGAATTAATACTGCTTATTTTACAATGCATCTACACCATAATAGATTACGTATAGAATTACATGCAATGGTACAGTTTAGATGTCTGACTTAACTGTCCTTGTCCGTTAATTCTGAACACACATGGTTTCATGGTGTGGCTACAGTTGTATACTCCTTCTTGATTAACTTGTTCGGGACAACCCAATTTAATATTTCTGTAAATTTTCATATTGCTGAGGCTTTGTACTGTAATTCACCTTCAGACTTTTTTGTCCCTTTATTTGTTTATAAAAGCGCTCTGATACATGCACATGCACGCTGCCGTCACAGGGCAGTTTTGCTGAAGTGAATAGTGAATGTCACTGCAACTCACACAGCAAATAATTTTCTTGAATATAATTTATACACTAGTTACAGCTATAATTGCGTATGTCTTTTGGTTTGTTTTGTTTTTTTTTCTCCTCACCAGCTGGAGAAACTGATTGAGAAGAACTACTTCCTTCACAAGTCAGCCCAGGAAGCATACAAAGCTTACATTAGAGCTTATGACTCCCATTCTCTGAAGCAGATCTATGATGTCAATAACCTGGATCTTCCCAAAGTCTGCCTTTCATTTGGTTTTAAAGTTCCTCCGTTTGTTGACCTCAGTATCCTTTTACTGCAGTGCTTCAAAGCTGAATTTCTGCTTTATAAAATGTTAAATGCAACTTACTGAAGTTCTTATGCTACTTCAAATTCTGATTTTTTTTTTTTTTTGCTATTAATCAAATAAATGCACCATGGTCCAACAATAGTTTAGCAAAGAAAATGTTAAATAGCAAATATTAAAACGGCAAAAATTGCCTACAGACGTCCATGTTTGAATACTGTATGTGCTTGAGGGCATACATGTTCTAGGGTGCTGTTGTCCTCCATGCAAAATTATTTTCATTGAAAGGTTCTTGCTTAAGTTTAATAATCATGGAATACTGAAATATAGGGGTAAGAGCATGAAAGAGAAGACTATCTAGACTACTGTCAAACCTAGCGGATTCCAGTGGCTGGAGTTTGAAGCAGGAGGACTTTGGTCAACTTGGTTGGCCAACTGGAGGAATAAAAGCATTACTTAGAACCACAGGTACAAAGTTTTAGTTTTGTCTGTTATGCAACTCAATTTTTTGTATAATGTTGCTGTTTTGTCTCACATTAATAACTCTTACAATACCAAAAAGCAATATTTCATACTATTCCTTTTTAAGTTCTTTAACCAATAAAATTCCAGATGTGAACAGCAACCATGGCAGAAGACTACAGAAAAGAGGTGGAGGTGGAGGATTTGGTTACCAGAAATCAAAGAACGTCCACAAAGCTAAAATCTTCAAACACATTAGCAAGAAATCGGATGGTCGTCAGTTTTCTCGTTAATCATACATACATTACAATGGCTTCTGGCACTGGAATAGACTACCTTGATCAAAGCCACCTGGCAGTTACTTCCAGTTTAAACTGTTTTATTCACATTTTTAGGAGTCTCTAGTTTTGTTTTCGGGAACATCTTTTTCAGTTCAGGAAGACTTTGGAAGGGAGAATGAATATAGAAAGGGAGAGTATGGCCACCTAATTTTGCCATACTTGTAAGGAAGAAGATGGTTGAACATAATTACCTTAAGTCAATGCTACAGAGTTTTTTATTAAAGGAAGAAAAAATCCTTTTAGGCTTTATAGAAGAATTTGCTTTACATCTAGCCTTTTTTCACCCCTCTGAAAATTGGTGGAGTAGACAACGCAAGGACAGATTACAGTGTGAGATAAACAAATTCTCACATGAATCATTGAAAGGGTTTTTAGTGCTATGGAACTCTGCTTTGTCTGTCAAATATGCTGAAGAATATAGGAAGATTCCTTGAGAACAGAACATACCTATGAATAATTAAGGCTGTATGAGCTTGTGATTAATTTCAGCCATGGTATCTGTATAACAAATACAGTGTCAAAGATTTAAAAAAAAATTATATCACATCTGGGACATGCTTAATACTGTTTCTTTTAATGTTGTGATAAAATGGTAACATTCTAGTGAAATGTTTGGGTTTTCTTCATGTGCTCTTTAAATCTGAATTTATCCCTCTAGTCATGTCTAGTTCACTCTCTTATGAATATGCAAAGAAAATTAAGAAAAGCAGATTACATAAATCAAAGCACTCAGCCCAGATAATGTTTTTTTTTAAATGTTCCATAACCTTGATGCAGTGAGAATTTTTGTGGTTGTATTTTGTAAATCACAAAAGTGGATTGCTTTTTAGTCTTAGTTTATCAGAACAGTGATGGGCAAAGGCAAAAATACTATTGCAGGATTGAGGAGGTGGAGAGACTTTATAAGTGGAAAAAGTGAAATGGGGTATAAATATACTAGAAGGATATTTTGAGGGAGGATAAAAGACTGAAATTGAAGAGGGTGGAATACACATTGCAAACAGAGCAAATGTGGACACTAAGTCAAAAGAGAATAAACAAGTTGGGCCAAAGTAGAGTAACTGTATTACATGTATTATTTTCATATCTCTACCATTATGAGACTATTCTAAGGCTGTGATGGTGGTGGGCAATAGTGTTTCAAAAATGTACATCCGCCAATGCAGGGAATGACTAAAATGTCACAGAATCCATAAATCTGGGCCCCATGGGATTACAGTAAAACAGCTTTTAATTTACATCTAAAATGTAACCCAGGACTGATTAGGAATACAAAAACATATGTAGTTATTCCAATATACAACAGGCTGTTATTCCTTAGGTCTTTTGAAGCAGCATATCAGATTTAAAACTATGATATGTGCATTGAAGTGTTGCAGAAAAACATCGGTGAACTTTCTTTTCACCCTTAGAGAAACTGGATCTTTTTTTTTTTGAGAATAGCATGACCATTTTGTTGCTAGTGCTTCCACCGTTCAGAACTGATACTGTTGCCTTTTTTCCCCTTTTGTGAAACAGCTGATTTCCAGCCCTAATGGACTTTTCAATACCCTTAATTAATATCGATCAGATATTAAGAACTTCTGATATGTCAAACTATTTAAGTAAATTAATTTTGTTACTAGGATTTGTATGTCTCATGCTCCCAGGGTTGCAATGAAAAAGCAAAATCTGCTCTGAAGGGTAAGCAGCACTAAGTACATGATGCCTAGCTCATTGAGTTCTAATCTTTGATTCTGGGTTTGCTTATATATTTATAAATAATAGGTGTCAAAGAAGTTCTCATGTCTTTATTAATAGCACATATTAAGAATTATCTCCGAGATGTACAGCATCATACAGTTGAAGGGTGCTGTCTATATCTGTAAGCTGTACAGTTAACAGTATAGGAATTAACATACATTATAGGAACATTGAGGGACTTAGATGGACTGCAAAATTAATTTTACTTGGGAAAAGATGTAAGCAAAACTGCAGTAAAACACAGAAGAGATCAGTGTGGTTATGTGGGCACAAGCAGTGTGAATGAAGTAGTGTGGAGTGTTCATCTGGAACAGGGAAAAAGCTGAGATGATGGGCACAGCCGGTGACCACCTGTCTGACCGTGTGCTGCGTAGCCAGAACTGGTCGGGCTTAAAAGCTCAGCAGAATTCCTGCCATTTCTCTATTTAGGCAAAAATCTGCTTCACAGAGAACTGCTTTTTTCTGTCACTCATTGCTCTGGGAACAGAAGCCTGACTGCTTTCCCAGCAGGTAGACAACCTCCAGCACCACCTGATTTTTTTATTTGGAAGAGTTGAGGTGCTGTCAATTTCTAAAGACTGACATGAGGACAACTGAAAAATCGGGGTTTGGCATGAGTCTGCACAGCTCCCTGGTATTTTTGGTTTGTGTTTTCACAGATAACTCTAATACAAATAAATCTTTAAAATAATCTCATCTAGAAGATTAAAAGACTGGATGGTATTGCTCTTAGAGTAGTACTACCTTACCCTAACAAAAAAGTTACCACTGTCACTTAAGCATTATAGATGTGTAATGGCTGCACAGTCTGTAGTAACTACATAGTCTGATATTTCACACTGTAATTTCCTGATTAAGCAGAAGAGAAATTCCCAAGCTGAGACTGGGGGAATTGAAAGAGAAGGGCTTCAGCTTCCTGGCTTGTAAGATGCAGTTACCTTTCTCTTTGTTTATGGAATCATAAATGAATAAATAGTTTCTGATGAAATATCTGTGTGTATCAGGCAGCAGCTATTCTACTATGGTATTGCAAGAAGTTTAAAAGATTGTAAAACCGATTGGAAATCTAACGTTTCCTTTGCAACTTACCCTGTTATCAATCTTGTGGGCAGTTAATAGACCTCAGCCATCAGGCTCCAAGGCTTGTCTCGTAACAGTGACTGATAGGTTGGGGACTATTATTGTGTACCTTGAGAAATTGCCTCTTTCTTTGAGAACCTTGACAAAGAAATTGGACTCTTTAAACCACTTAAGGGGCTGATCAAAACTGTCCTGCTTGAACTGGAAGATTTTTTTAACAGTTCTTGGAACAGGCCCATAAAGGAGAATTCCATTGCCGAGCTACTGCTCATAATCATGAAATACCTTGTCATGATATGAGTTTCCTGCGCTGTAACGCTGATGAGTTATACACAAGCACAAGACTAGTCAGACAGTGTTGCCATCAAGTTTTTCAGGGTGAATGCCACAGGCAGAGGGTAAGTTTATTGACATTGTAGAGCAAGAATACTTGAGAACCGGGTAAGATATTTTCTGCTTAGGTCTGTTGTAAATAAGTATATTTTGTCAGTAATTAGCCTTTTTGCTTCATGTATGAGTTGATAATTTAAGTAAGCTACCAAAGCTTCTTAATGATTTGCTTTCAAGTCAGTAATCTAAGGCCCAGGGGAAGCAAGCTCTCACAGGAAGGATGGAAAAGGATTGCAATTAAAGGAAGGCGAGGTACTGACAGGATACAGCACAGGTCTGTGACTTGTGCTTTTAGTTCTACCACGGTCCTGTTGAGGAGATAGTTGTCCAGTTTCTTCATCCCCCAAAAACTTACAAGGGATTTTACAGAGATCTAAAAACCTAACTACTAGAAGAGTCAGTAATTAGCCCTCGAAAGGTGAGTTGGTTTGTTTTTTTGTTTTTTTTTCCAAACTAAAATAATGCTGAAAGAAGCCTAGAATCAACTGGCTAGGCATGCAGTATAAAATCTGTCTGCTCTTGACTTTCGCTCTGCTGGCTTGATTTCCTCAGGATTTTATCTGCTTGGCTTGACAGGAGAATTCATTGAACTGGTTTTGATGCTTTTGTTTCCTCTAGATTTATAGAAGATGTTAAGCCATGACAATAAGAATCCAGCCTCTTGAACAGGAATACTCTGCTTCTAAAAAAATTGCTGGCTTGCATCAAAGTCGTAAACACTATAATGTTGTTTGTCACATCTCTTTATTGAACAGCCATGTGGGGAGGAGATTACTTTTTTTTTTCCTTCCTCTTAGCCACCACAATAAACTTTTGGTATGGAGTTGTGAGGAGAGGTAGAGGAAGGATGCTATTACGAGAACAGAAGACAAATGGAAAATTGGGGTTCTGTCTAGACACGCTCACTTTGTTGTATCGGTGTCATTCAGCTTAAGAACTGCATTCACCTTTCAAAAAAATGTCTGAGCATACTCTACAATAGCAGTTCATCTTTCCAAACATTTTTGTAAGCTACAAAACTGAAAAACATGACCATCTGCTATTTTTTTTCCCCCTTGGTCAGAATTGAAAGGAAACTCATAGGCCCTGCAAAATCTGGTATAGCATCTCCAAAGCTTCTTCCAAATGCTCCTCTCTATTTTGGCTGTCACCTGAAGACCATTAGCTCTGCAGGGCTTTCTGGGCTCCTCTATGGGTGGCTGTAATCCCCTATGAATGTTGAGAATCACTGGAATATTAAATGTGTTACTCTCCATAACTAAAACTAGATGTTCTCCCATAGGGATTGACAGACCAGGTGAATTTGTAGGAGCTATTGGGTCTTCCTTATAAGCTCTGGGTAAGTGTCGTCGATATATTGTCAGTTCTTCTAATTAATAAAACCCTTTCTGTATGAGAAGAGGAAACAGACTTGAGTAGGAGATGAGTTCTGCCCGGCACCTTTCTCCAATTGTTATTAGGACACATGAGAATTAATTTTTGAAGGTACATAGTGGCACTAATACCTACAAAATGTAATTTGAGAACATCATAAATGTAACCCTAAAATGGCATTGCTTGGAAAAAACAAACAAAAAAAACCCCAAAAACAAACAAACATAAAGCAACTTTGTTTTTCCACACAAATTGTATTCACTGATACCTTTGCATTCCTTTCTGAATTGTGGTAGAAGAAAAGTTAGCCAAATGGCTTGTAGTACTGAAAGAGGTAATTCTTTAATACTAGAAAAAGAATCCTG